ACTTGACGCGTGACTTTTGGAGGAAGTCTCGTACGAAACGCTCGTCTTGCAGCCTCGCAGCGTGACTTTTGGAGGAAGTCTCGTACGAAGAGTGTGCCCTACAGGAGTGTGCCCTACAGGAGTGTCCCACAAGAGTGTCCCGCAACAGTGTCCCGCAAGAGTGTCTCACAAGAGTGTCCCTTAAGAGTGTCCCACAAGAGTGTCCCGCAACAGTGTCCCACAAGAGTGTCCTACAAGAGTGTCCCACAAGAGTGTCCTACAAGAGTGTCCCACAAGAGTGTCCCACAAGAGTGTCCTGCAAGAGTGTCCCACAAGAGTGTCCCACAAGAGTGTCCCACAAGAGTTTCCTACTAGAGTGTCCCACAGGAGTGCTTTAGAAGAGTGTCCCACAAGAGTTTGCTACTAGGGTGTCCCACAAGAGTGTCCCACAAGAGCGTCCCACAAGAGTGACGCACAAGAGTGTCCCCCAAGAGTGTCCCGTAAGAGTGTCCCACAAGAGTTTCCTACAAGGGTGACCCACAAGAGTGTCCCGTAAGAGTGTCCCACAAGAGTTTCCTACAAGGGTGACCCACAAGAGTGTCCCACAAGAGTTTCCTACTAGAGTGTCCCACAAGAGTTTCCTACTAGAGTGTCCCACAAGAGTGTCCCACAAGAGTGTCCCACAAGAGTTTCCTACTAGAGTGTCCCACAAGAGTGTCCCACAAGAGTTTCCTACTAGAGTGTCCCACAAGAGTGTCCTACAAGAGTGTCATTTGGACATATGTAGCTTTTCGAACGTGTTTGCATTCGGGTTCGTGGGCTCCATCTTGTTACCTTTACTGTATCTTTATTTGGCCTTCATTGTTTGACCTTCATGGCAAAAGCAAAAGCAACACGCTAAGGTTGGAGGCCATCGTTAGTAGGTGCCTGCCTTTTGCTAGTAGGTTCCTTAGGCAAAAGCAATACGAGGAACCATCTGCAGGTCAGGCGACAAATCCACTGCCCAGCGATGGGGACAAACCATCTTCAAGTTTGCGTCGCTCACCAGGCCGTGCCCGAGAGACAGAAACCACACCTGGAGTGGCTTCTCTAAACACCTCAGCTCTCAGGAACAAGAACGCTACTAGGGGCTCCTGGCCTTACTCCTAGGAACAAGAAGCTATTAGAAACAAGAAAAACAAGATTAAACGTAATTATTAGACTAGTAATAATGTTGATTGTTTTTCTTTATGGCAGTGCCCTTGTATTTAAGGTTTGGGAGTTGTCCCTAAGGGTTGGTCAAGTTGGAAGCGCACTGAAACCACATGTGTGTGAAACAAGTCTGAAATCAATCTAGTCTACGCGCGCACTTTGAAGCTATAGCAAACAATACGGGAAGCAATGGAAAATTGCACATGGTGTTGAGTGATGCCTGTACTCTAACAAAGGCTACAGTACATACAAGAAATCAGCATCAATTTTATGTTCAAGCCTTCTGAGGATTGAGAGCCGCATATCGAGCATCTAGGGATAGTGTGTTCCTCCCACAGAGCACGCAACTTTGCCTCAAATGTTTTTGTAATCAACATGTTCTGGCATGGCACAGTGATTTGAGTAAAGGCAGCAGTCCGACATCCAATTCCTTGAGTGCAAGGAAGCCTTTTTTAGGAACAAGCTAATCACCTTAAATACAGGGGGGTTGTATTTCAGAATTGTTCAATTGTGTTCTCGGGCGCAAATTCCTTAAGTACAGGGTCCAATCCATTAAGTACATGCAAATGTCCTTAAATACAAAGGGGATTGTATTTCAGAACTTTTCGATTGCTTTTTGGGGCACGAATTCCGCAAGTACTAAATTCCTCAAACATGTCATCACCAGTTCCGTGATCATCACCAAAACATCTCGATTGAGTGCCTGAAAAACGTTTTAAACTTTAAGTGCAACCAACACCCCTGTATTTAAGAACATTTGGAGCGATTCTTGTGTAGTCATCTAGTGTTCTTTAGGTTCCTTTTGCCTTCTTGAGACCTTCTTGAGACCTTCGGACCATTCTTTTTTCCTTCTTCCTTCAAGGCCTCTGCCCCCCTGAATACTCATACCTCAGGACTCCTCGCCTGTGCAGCCGTTCTCTCCTCCGCAGTTCGGGCAGCTGCCCAGGCTGGTGAAGTATTTGCCAGTCCAACCTGCAGATCTCATGGTTTCCGTCATTGCGTCTGTGATATTAAAAGTGCCTGCACCAAACTTTGGATGGTTTGCCGCCGAAAAAGCCTGGCCCGGCGACAACTTCCCTTGCTCGCTTCACAGTTATGTTGGTGAAAACAACCAACATGTTTTGATCAAGATGTTCTGCCATCTCTTCTAGGTTGGAGGCCATCGCAATTGGTTGGAGGTCATTGCCACTAGTAATAAGAAGCTACTAGTTTGGAATGATATTCCAGTGATCAAAACAAATGCCTCGGCTCCAAGAAGACGCGTCCAGCCTAAGGCTCGAGACACCAATCAATCTGCATTAAACCTACTAGTAGCTTCTTGTTCCTAGTAGTAATGGCCTCCAACCTAATAGCGATGGCCTCCACCTAGTAGCTTCTTGTCACTAGTAGTATGGCCAGGAGCTACTAGTAGCTTCTGTAGAACATGCAGACGTGCTAATTTTTGGACTGTTTCTTTTCTGCTTGACAAGCTGCGAAGAAGAGTCCAAGACAAAGGCCCCATTGCCGCCGCATCTTGAGTTTGGCTGATTTCAGATCAAGTCAGGTGCATCAACATAAACACACACGAATTCTCCTGGATAACCAGTTGCATATATTGATATTTGTAAACTTTATTAAAGCCCTTTTAGCATGCCTGCAATAGATTGCTCAATATACTGCACGTCCTGTTTCGGGAGAGATGTGCTTCAAACCCCTTAAAATATCTCTAGTGTTTCGTACAACATCACTGTGAATATGCAGAGCTGACAACCAACTGTTGGCTGAAAGTTCTTCACTTCAAGAAACTTTAGCTGAAAAGATGTCTGTACTGTCTATCTTTATTTATGGTAGCACATACACAAGGAACAAGAACTTGTTGATCAAGCTATCTCCGCCAGAGCCTGGGTACGGAAGCTTCAACAAAAGCAATCAGGGATGAAGTGCCATGTGATGATGTGTGTGATGCTCACCGCGCGCACCCCAAGATACGGCACAACCACACAGATTGCCATTGACTGCCTGCTTTGACATGTGCTTTCATTGGCAACCTGTACAGAAGGTGTTGACACAGCGGACGCTGCGCCGCATACCTGCAGAGTTTCCTTGTGCTTGCAGTTTTGCTTACGGCCATTTTCAGGTTGACAAAGGTCAAGTCTGTCCAGATTGGAACTAACGCTTTGTAAAGTGCATTTGGGTTCTTCTGTTCCAGAACTGTAGGGTTCGTTCCACTTCCAGGCACTGTGTGGTACTGCCCGTCCATTTAGCCTACCCCAAAAGAAAAGAAACAACTAGCACAAGTGTGTTGCTGCAGTTTTGAATGGAATTGCCACCAGCTCCATTGGGTCAAGCCACCCGCCCCGATTCAGTATTAGCATGAACAGCTTTCCCACAAATTGTAACTGTGCTAATTTCTCCGCCCACATCTGAAGGCGAGTTCATTTGATTTCAATTTGCATGTTTGCCAGGGCGTTCCATTACGCCAGCTTGCGCTGCACCATGTTGCCATAAGGGTACAACCAGCGCCATATCGATTGAAGGTACAACCAGCGGGAGCGAGCAGGGAAACAGAATAGCAAGTTTTTTAGCTTTGTCTTCTATGTTTGCAAGAGTGTTATCAACGACACAACATTGACTTGTTTGGGCTTCAAAACTTGCGAGTTCCCAACACCGAGATAATTGAACCCGCCCGAAAGTACATTTGCAACTGGAGGTGCCAAACAGCTAATCAAGCATGGATGGATTCAGAATGTTTCCCGGACTTTGATCCGGAAGAATTGGCCAATCAATCATGCCTTCTTGGGGTTTGTTATATTGCCCTTTGGTTCTGGTCGGGGAGTGCTTTAGTGCCAAGAAATCAACACTGGTGGCCTGTTTGCAACGACGTCTTTCAATAGGCACAACACGTACCAGTTGCGGTTGGCTGCACGCTAAAATGACGCTGAAATCATTGGCTGAGCTTTCCCATCACCAGCGCTAGCTGAACCCATGGCTGTGGATTTCACGGCTAGTTGCCACGAAAACGCTGTAAAATGAGCCCTCAAACCCTCCACCTGCCACACATTAAACTCACACATCTCAAAACCTCCGCATCGAATGCGCTGTGACCACGTAACGCATCGAATGCACTTTTGATTGTGCCAATTGGGCAGCTTGATTGCCTTCTGCTTCTGCTTGTTCTTTGAACACCGGTCCTGTCGGTTGCCACTTGCTGGCCTTTGCTGCGAGCTCTTACCCATTGCTTTGCAGTCTATTAGGCATGCTGCAGTGGAATTTCATGGACTGTACACGAGGCGCCTGCATTCGTCCTTTTGGCGAAACCAGCAAACAGTATGGAACACATAGACAAGCCTAATAAATGTGCTGTGCAAACCAATAGACAGGCTAGGACCTCCCTTGTGCCAAAGATTCACTTCCACATGTTCCCTCTCCAAAACGAACTTAAACTACTTCCGTACATATAGTCCTCTCTCCCTTTGAAGCAGAGGCAAGGTGTGAAAACAATTTTCGAGCCACATGGACACCATGGACTTCTATGTCAAAACTATTTTTTCTCACAGCTCGGGAGCCATTGCTGCCAAACTCAGCGGCTGGGAATCACCCGCCCTTGGTAAACGATGTAGCGACGAACAACTTCTGAACCCATTCGACTATTTTGGACTCAGCGCTTGACTGACACGTATAGCCTGGTCCACGACACTCCAATCAAAATTGACTGCTTGTGTACCTAAGACATACAACAAGTACACTACAAAATACAAACGCAAGTATTGATTTTGAAGCAGCGACTGCACAATCCTGTGTCCTTGACAGTAATCATGTCGTGCATGCTGTGAACCCTATGCTGCATTCCAAACATCATGTCACATGTTTGCCCCAATAGAAAGAGCTGACCGACATGCTAAACTTGGAAATAGTTGGTTGTAAACCGACCAAATGTGTCATCAAGCCTGGTTGCTTCTGTCTGCCAAAAAAATGTCGTCCAACTTTGGACAAAAAACATTCTCATCTTTGCGTGGTGTAACATCAATTTCCATGTTTTTGTGACGCTAACGCCTCGTGAACTGCGAAGCTGTAACAACGAGGATGTTGGTCGAAAGGCACAAGAACTTTGAAAAGCACAAGAGGAGTCAAAGGTAGCGGACTTTGAAAATAGGACAAGAGGGGTCAAAGGTAGCGGCGGCAGCCGAAATTGAAAATAGGACAAGAGGGGTCAAAGGTAGCGGCGGCAGCCGACTTTGAAAATAGGACAAGAGGGGTCAAAGGTAGCGGATGTTGAAACGGACAAGAGGAATCAAAACTCAAAAATACTTAGGTAGGTCTCAGCCCGCGTAGGAGATGAGGGCTCAACAGGGCTACCATCTAGAGCGGTGTTCCCTTTTGCTGCCATACACTTGCTGCAGCTGAGCCGCCATGGCGTTCCGCATAAAGGGCAGTGAAAGTTCAAGCAGCTCCGACTTCGGCTCACGCGTTCTTATGAAAAGGAGCTCCAACTTCGCTCTTCTCCTGAGCTGGCAGCAACTTCTTTGCCGGGCAGGTGCAGCGTCTTAACTGTAGGGTCACCGTTGGCGCTGCCTTTGTAAAGTGCAAACAGATGACCCATTGCGCTAACCACTAATGGGGATGAGCTATGGCTTTGTATTCGTGCTCGTCTCAAGCAGAATCTGTCACCCTTTAATGCAAAAGAGCTTCAATGCTGCTCGTCGACAAGTATTTGGAGGAAAACGGACCTCTGACAGTGTTTGAAACTCTGTGTGACCCTAGAAAGAAGTCCAAAATGCACGACAAATGCACAGCAACGGACTACGGTATCGTCTTTGCTTTCTTTCAAAGCAGAACCCACAAAACTACACTCTGCAACAAACAACATCCAAGTATCAATTTGGCAAAACTTGGCACGGTTTCAGGAATCATCGGTTAGATCCTCTAGATAGTTTCACCAAACATAACCCACTTCAGCAAACAAAGCAGAAGGATTTTTGTTGGATTTCAAGTATATACTTGCTCGGACATCTATGAAGTTTCACAGTTTCACACTAATATTCCAGCTAGATGCATCTCAGTTTCGCCCCACTTATTCTGGTTCTCATTCCTCATCTCTCGAGAATCGACAAGTTGGTTTCCGACTGTTTAAGGGACAAGGCTTGTCAACTCAGTCCAGTCAACACGGGAAGCCATTCCTGCACCGAGTCTACGCATGTCAAAGTGGAGACTTAGTGTTGCAAGTCGATTGAAAGCACTCTGGGAAATATGCCACCTGTTCTCAGAACAATGATAAGATGTCGAACCGATAACGTTGGAAACGAATCCAAGTGTATCTTCCGTGGTTGCACAAACACACAATTTTCCCAACCCTCTATCACCACCAGATATTCTTGAGTGAGGGTTGGCAGGCTTCACATCAAAGTTTCCCAACCGCATCGCTGCTGTCATGTTTGTGAGCTGTATTTCCTTTGCGATCAAGGCGCTGAAAGAAGTAGAATAAAGCTCTTGATGATTCTGCGACTGTTGTACATGTTGTACACTCACCGGGCACGAAGACTCCGAAGGCCAGCCATCACTACCTCCAAATCCGGTGCCAATGGATCTATAACCTCCAAGCAGCCGATCAAAATTGTTCAAATTCGATCAAACCAAGCGCTTTTGGTCTAAGCATGTCTAAGCGGTCTTTCATTTTGGCGCCCTCGCAAGACCAGAGTGGCATGCCGCATCAAGACATCAAATGCGCACGGACTATCAAGGACCAATACTGGGACACCCTTCTGAGCCTCCTCCTGCTTCTCAGCAAGATTGAAGATCAGGCGGTGCCTAGAAAATACGACAAGCCGACGCCACTCCACGTGCCACTCAAGATGCCAATTGCTGTGACACTCCATGAGTCTTCTGTGAATTCCTGCTAGCTGCTAGAGTGCATGTCCAAGGCTGTCTTGAATCATGTCAAGCGCACCTGTGCAAAAAGTTTCTTGGACACCAGGAACAATCCTCCTCGAAGTGGTGACTGTCAATAATGGCCCTTGGGTGATTAGTAGGAGGGCTACTCATGAACATTATGTTGTGCTCATTGCCAACATACATGTCTTTTAAGACAGAAGGAAAACGCCGCTTCTTGTCTCTGCATTGGAAGGCTGTCTATGACAGATACTGTGACAAACGTAGTTTTCACATCTGGCAATGAGCTTTGAGAAATCTTCCGACCAAACATACTGCTCCCAAGAGGACAGGATAGAACAGGCAAAGCTCCGGACGTGGGCTGCACTGGAAATCAAAGCATTGAGAAAGGTTGATAATTCTATAGTGTCTTGCAATGGATAAACTAGTAGTTAGTAACAAGAAGCTATTAGTAACAAAGGGCATCGCTACTGGGAGCAAGGATGCTACTAGGGGCTCCTGACCTTACTACTGGTAACAAGAAAACTACTAGTAGTTGTGTCTTGTTGTGGATCTTTCGAGACTAGAGTCGTACGAGAGGCGTAAGCACGAGCTCTTGGGAGTCATTGTTCCTAGTAGTTTTCTTGTTACTAATAGCAAAATTAAGATTGTTTGCAGGAAACCTGACTTTTTTCTTGTTGGTGAGGCATTTTGGTGCCTTAATAACTCAATCATTTTGTGGTTGGCTGTGTGCAGGGCGTCATTGGAGGCTGTTGTGGGCTTACCAAGCGGGAAGGGCCTGCAAGCCACACTGGCCAATCAAGGGTCAAGGTCGCGCGGCCTAAATTGTTTGGTTACGAAGACCCAGAATTGTTCACAAGTTCGTTGCATGAGTGCTGCAAATGCACATGATGAACTATACTATAAACACGTCAAAAGCCGGCGTCCTTGAAGGTCGTCTTTGAAGAATACTTCCCGTCACACACGGTGGGATGACCAATATGTGCCGTATGCAGCCGGATCCTCAGGACGAGCTGAAGGCCCTGACCTTGTTTTGATTATATGACCTCCCAGGCTTCCAACCTACTAGCGATGGCCTCCAACCTCCCAGGCTTCCTCATTCACATCCGGATATCTCAGGATAGGTCTGATGCATCCTGCCAGTGTTAATCCGAATGAGAAGACCGCAGTAGCCACGACCATCTTTCCTGCGGTGACAGTGAGAGCAAAATGCATAGGCTGAAGACAAGCACACCTGTTTCGAAACGAAAGAGCATTGCGTTTCAGTTTGCTCCTATAGAGCTCCGACACTTTCAAATTGGTTTGCGCCACACGACCAGCATCTGCAACAGCACTGGGCGCTCTCCTTGGCAATTCGTGCGTAAAAAGATCAGAATAGGATGTCGCGATGACAATGCAACCTATCGAGTTTATACCTGGTCACCTGGCCTTCCATTAGGCCACCAGTGCACTCGAGCTGCCACTTCCTGGAAACAGAAGTGCGTTGGATCTGCGATGCAAAACAATGCGCAGTCGTTCAACTCTTCCTCACCAGAAGTCGAAGCATGGAATCAAATAAAGTATATCCTCGCCTGTCTTTCAGAGAGCCATCCGTGATTCAGCGCCACATAATCCCTGACAACATCTCCGGTGGCAGCCTGCGAAAGCTGAAAAGTTCGAAAGCATTCGATAGTCTTGGCCAAAATCCCAAAATGCAGCCTGCATCTTCAACTTGTACCAGGCTTCGTGTGACTTGGCCACGAGAATCCTGCAAACTTGAGATGGACAATGGACCTTGTACTTCGTGGAGCACTTGTGCCTAAGCACCTGACAATCCAGAACTGGGCACATCCAACCTATGAAGAAAGCCTCGACCTCAAATGGGGCCAGCCAACTTGTGATGACTCTCATCCAACCAGATTCCTTGCAAATCAAACCCTTAGAAAACCCTGGAAATCCAAAACACGCAATTAAGCAAGTGAATGAAGGACCATGAAAATTATTGGGACGCGAGCAGCAAAACAATGAAACAAGGCAAGTTGAAGAACTCTTTGTATCCTGGGCCTGTGGCTGTGATCAACATCGTGGAGAACTGGGTGCTTTGGAAACATTGCCTTTTGCAGACTTCAAGCGCAAATAAAGCAACTCCTTAAGGCCTCAGGCCTTACACATTGAAACAAGAACCATCAAGAACCTTACGCATGCAGCGAAACCCGACCTGTGCTATGCCAGCTGCTATGCATGCGTTATGCTCCGCATACAGGCTTTTCTCAGCAGGTGCTCCGAATACGGAAGTTGGTCTCTTGCTCTTAGTCCAACGTAGTGTTGATGTGGCCCACCCCTAACCGCAAACCCCACTGCACGCGCCAATTCTCGGTTTATACCAGCACATTGAGCAAACATGAACCCGGAAAAGCTTACCAAAATGGTGGCGTTCTGCTTCTTTTGAGCTGGCATGAGTAAAAGCGGACTTGGCCGTGAACTGCGCGCATCTGAGCGTGACACTGGGCATGCGGGCTGTCTAATTACTGTGATGTCCATGGCCTCCACCCTAGTAGTGATGGCCTCCAGTAGCGATGGCCTCCAGGTGTTGGCCAACTCAATGGGTGTCTTCTTCACAAAGGACACACCACCCTCTGCAGTGGCCCGAACCCACTGTCCAGCAATCCAAGCCCTCTAGGACTCTAGGTCTTCTGGCAGCGAGTGTAATGAACTGCGGACAAACGTCAAAGGAAGCCGTGAGATCTGAGGTGCTCCTGGGGTGCCTGGTAGCCGGTGCTTTGTCCGGCTCGAAGACGATGAAGTCAAAAAAGCAAAGGACAAGAAAGGTCTCCGAAAGGTCCAAAGAAAAAGAACGATGAGGTCTAAAGAAAGAAAGTCAAAAGACGATGTCGGAGCCCCGGACCCAAATCTCCAGTACCTCGTCGAGGTGTGAACGATGGTTGCGTACAAGCACGCATGCAGCCGAGTAGGAAGGGCGGGCTTAAAAGCCACTGGAGATCCGTGGGCAATGGCATTGGCATCGCTACTAGGAACAAGAAGCTACTAGCAGCTCCTGGCCGTACTACTGGGAGCAAGGATGCTACTAGGGGCTCCTGGCATATGCAAGTAAACCAAATGATGAATCCAGCCACGCTTTCTGAAAGAAAACACATGGCCGACAGAAAGCGTGGAACGATGTGGAACGAGGATTTCACGGCCCCAAGGAGGTAGGGCTGGAGCCAAAGAAACAAGCGATTCCCTGCCAGCTCCAGATCTCAGCAAAGAACCCCGGCTGACCAAACTGCTTTGCACTGCTTTGGAGAGCCAATGCTACAGACCGCCCCTGAATTGTTCCGGAGAAGCTGTGAATCAAGACCTGACATGAAACCATGCCCAGGTAATACAAGCATGCTTTCTGCCTGTGAAGTATACCTGCGGCGCTTGGCATGTGCTGCACTTACAAATGTGTTCCAAGAGCACGCTTGCCTTCAAGAAGAATGATAGGAGCCCCCTCCTGGGCGGAGAGAAAAACGGCAAAGCTTGTACAACTTCTCATTGCCATTAGTCATTGTCTGAAATAAACTTGTGAGGTACAACCTCTTTCGTACTTGCAAGGCCAACATCACAAGCTCGAACTCACGAAAGCAAACCAGGCGTCTCAGGTTCTGCCGATGACAAAGGAAGCCCGTCATCTACCTCAGCCAGAATCCATGATCTAGAAGCTTCTGTAAACTTTGGTCCATCACACTCAAATGTTGTTGTTTGATATCTTGCACTTCTGCTTTGGCTTTGACCTGATATTTTGATGGCTTCTGCAGGACCAAGAAGTTGGAAAATTCACGAATGATGCGAGGTGTCGTGGGCTCAGTCGGTCCAATACCTCAAAGAAGCTGTGCAAGGAGAGGGGTGTTGCTTTATCTTTTCAATCCGTCTGCATCTGTGTGTGTGCGCGTCACATATTGTTGACACTGCCATGAATCACAGCATTCACACCATACACTGCACTGAAGTTATGCGAAGTGTGCTTGAAAAAGGCTTGGCGTCGCACAATCACAGCTGATGATGGGCATTGGTATTCTGAGTTCACCAAATGATCTGCCCACGGTTTCCAAAGCACCTCATGTTTGGAAATGAGTCTTGCAAGAAGTGCTTGGAGGTGCTGATTGGAACTCTCGCTCTTACGGCTCTCCGAACTCTTTCGGAACCTCCAATGGCAACTGCCGTTTCGCTGCGCAGGCAGCCTCATGAAACCACAAATGGACACATTTGGCAAGGCCAGCGTAACTTCAAGTTTGCATGGCTTTGCGATGCCATGCGCTGCTGAATTCTCACAATACTGCTCTGTCCTGCATAGCTGCATGCCCATACCAGTGTCAGCGCTGACACAGCATCAGTCTTCTCAGTCTCCATGCGCAAGACATACTCCTGCGAATTCTGCTCAATCGCTTTAGTCCTCTGCTTTTATACCCCCCTAGAAAGTCGCAAAGAAATTCCCTGTGGTCTTTGTGTTTCAAGACAGATTTCCACCCTCTACCGCAGGAACCCAGTTTTGATAGCTCAGTTGGTCAACGAAACGCAATCGACTCAGGAGATGAACATGTTAAACCAAGCAGTTGAAGTCACGTCAACTGGCATCCAATGTACGGTCTCTTTGGAGGCCAACGTGATACTTCCAACGTTTGCTTCAGACATGGGACTTCGGCTGAAAATAATGCGTCTTTCCATATTGAAAGGCAAGGGAATTGTTGATTGTTGGACTTTCATGAACTGACCAGTGCAAGGAATGACATCGCTTCGACGGAATGTTGGATGGACTGCACGAAATGTTAACCGCTGCTGTTTTTCTAGATATCTGTAACCCTAGCCTTCCAAAAGCATTGATAGAAAGGTTGACCCGACTTGTCATCCAAGACCTGCATTGTGAAACAATGGTCTTTCGCAAACACCACTAGATTCGCTAAATCAATGGTGGCTAAATCCCAGCGATCCTAGTTGCTGGCATCCAATTTGACTGTACATATATATATATATTATATGTATATGCTGTTTAACACAAGCATGACAAGCATCAGCATGTGTTCCTGCCTTCTGCAAAGAGTCCAAGATATTTGGAAAGGGATTGCTCGAAAAGCCCCATGCAAGCCTAACAATACAGAAAGCAAAGCAACTATACTATAGTGACTATATAGATCGCAGTCCAAAAAAACATTCTACAAAATCATGTGACGGAGAAGATCTGACATTCGGTCTTTTGAATGCCCAAATTGCATACACTCTGAGTCTGGCAGTCGGCACCTGGCTAGGTCAGCACACTTGAAGTGCTTGAGGTTCTCTTCAATCCGCGGCCAAACTCCCAAATCAAAGCTTGCAAAGCTGTTCAGTGCTGCATAGCTCCAAACCTTGGACAAGGCTTTGCCAAGGACCACGTGAGGATAAATGTGAAGTGATACAAAGCTAACAAGCTAGTGCACAAAAACATGTGACGAATCCAGAATTAAGATGACGAGAGAGTTGTAAAATTATGTGTAATATTTTCTCACGCGGGAAAGGAGTTGCAGAAGTATGTGAAGTCCAAGCATCCAAATCCTAGGGACATCAAAAAACACTGCTTCGCCAAACCACCCGCCACATGCAAAGCGGCGCACGACTTCCAGTTCGAGCGTGACACACTTGAAACAACTCTTATATACACCAGGCAGTGTTGCCCTTCCTCGTTGGCAACGCCGGAGAACACCAAGCCACATGGAAGACATCACAAGTCAGGGCCTGGGGAGACATCCAAAGTCCAAAACGCTGCGCCTCCCACCCAAATCAGCAGGGAGACGTCCAAAGTGGAAGACATGGGGAGAGGTCATAAAAGCGACAGTCTGTGACAAACATACTGCGCCGGCACGAAAACTGCATTTCGAAGTAAAACATGTCCGATCTCCTGCACCTGCCGCGAAGCGGCTGCCGCGACAAAGGGAACTCCAAGTCCGAAAATGCGCACAGCACCACAACGAGAGTCATCTCCAGGAACAAAGGTCGGCAAAGCCCAAAATTGAGAGACCCTGCACAAGGATTGTACACGTCTGAACACCTGGAGGAAACTTTGTCGGAGCATGGCACAGAATTCACCAAACCGAATTTTACGGACCCCCAATCCAAACCCTTCTTCCCTTACTTGTATATCATATAAGAACCGCAATATGGTTCCTTGCCATTCAGGTCGACTTGGCTCATGAGACATGAGATGTTGGAAGTTCAGGCCAATCCATGCCAAGCCCATAAATTCATGAAGCATCAAGCTGAGTCACCAGGGTACTCAGCTCCTTAGGTTGTAGCTCCTCACTCACGCCGAAGAATGTTGTACTTACATAGAGTCTTAGAGACTGTGAAACCCAGCACCGAACATGTGAAACAATAAAACAAACAACCGCTTGTGACATATTTCTTGGACATGTTCAATGATCAAACACTATTGGTGTAACGAGCTAAATCCCAAATCCTGGATTGACGTCAAATCTGGGGTGTTGAGATTTGACGGCCTCGCGTCAGCTGATGCACAATTGATAAACTGCCGCTTAATCATCAAAAGAGCTGATGGAACAAAAGACAGGCCTCCTGCTGACTTGCTTTGCCGACCTACGCACTTGAAGGCGCCAACGCGGGCACAAGAGGTGAGTCTGAATGAAACAGTAGAATTCAAAGATCATCAATGCCTCCAAAAAAGACGAAAACAGAAGATTCGTTGAGAAATCATTGAACAATAACACAATAGGGAGCTCGTGACCTCCATGCAATCTCCGTCTGCTCGGAAGATCTTTCACGTTTGCCGGAATAGTTGCACCCAGCCCTTGGTGCCAAAGTAAGAACTACAATCTTGACTTGCAATAAAACAGCAAACAAATAGTTTACTAAATGTTGTGTATTGCAGCTGAAGCACAAGAAAAGAGACCATCTCCATTGCTTTGAAACACAAGCAACACTGGCAGCTCCGAAGCTTACCTCAAGTGACCAGTGACAAGAGTATGGACGATAAATGAAACCACAGTTTTGCATTCAACTCGGCTAAAGTTTGGGAAGTTTTCTTTAGATCTCAACCACTTGGGCAGCAGGAATCGATAGGAATCGTAGCAACTCATCCCCAAGAGGAAAAGGTGCAGCAAATATTGAGGAAAGCCACAGCATTGGGCAACGATTTCCTCATCGAAGTGCCAACTCTCAAGGAGGACAGCTTGAACGTCCGTTCACGATTTGAAGTTGAACCCTTTCTTTGCTTTACCGTCAATCGCAGTTCTGCAAACAGTTTGTTCATGTTGCCATCAAATTCTTCTTTCATCATTCATGTTTCCTCCAAAGCACTTCTCTGACATTTCTTCCAACAGCTTCACAGCTATCTTCCATCGTTGCGCCCGACCAGAAGCGCCTCTGGAATCGAAACCCATCTCTCTTCTCACGCATCTAAATCTGAAGAGGGAAAACGTGCCATCGAAGTTTTTTTCATGTGGTACCAGTAGCTCACAGAGATCAACCGAATGTTGTCGGACATTTAGTGTGATGATGGACTTGAAAACCACGGGACACCTTGTACAAGAAAGTGTGCTGCCTACACTGTGTATTTGTTGGTGTCTGCCTTGTAGCACATTCATCTGGGACTTAGGAAACTATGACCGATCTGCCTGCTGTTCTTAGGGGTGTCCACCAGATGACAATCCAATCGTCGTGACTGATCGGACAGCACCAGTGACAATGTTCGCTAGTAACAAGTGCCACGCTAGTAGTAACAGGTGCCTTACTAGTAGTAACAAGTGCCACGCTAGTAGTAACAGGTGCCTTACTAGTAGTAACAATGTCCTTTGCTACTAGGGGCTTTACCCATCTCCTTTTTGACAAATCCGCCGACCCGCCATGGGCCAGAGAGAGCAAGCGTTCGCAGGATTGCGCATCGATTCCATTGGGCTTTAAGTGGTCACTTTTTGTCGTTCTCCGCAAAATAGATGGTGTAGTTCCGTTTCGGCAGTTTCTGTGAGATGGCCAGGTAGAAGCACATGGGATAGGGATTGTCCCATTCCTTTAGTCAGTAGTTGATGTTCGCCGCTTTTCGCCTGGAAATAGATTGTGCAATCCTGATTCCAAGGTTTCTGTGAGATGGCCAAGTGACGTTTTCAGCCCCGCCCGGCCTGCTCCGGGCATATTGTTGTTGATCGTTTTTCGCTTGGAAATCCGCCCGAGCCGGAGGTGCTGGGGCATGCGTATCCTGATGGCATAGTCAAGATTTCAACTTTAGCTTTGGGGGGGCCTTTATCGGGCGAGCGGCGATGTTGATGGTGGTGATGATGGTGGCAGCGATGGTGGGTGGTGGTGATGATGGTGATGGTGGTGGCGGTGGCGGTGCGATGGAAGTTCACAACCCGGGCAGGCTTAGAATTGAAGATAGGTCTAGAGATCTAGAGGTGCAGGTATAAGAGGTATGGGCAGGTATAAGCACATGGGAGAACGATTCATGTCGATTCCAAAGGTGACATTTTGAGCCCCGTTCGGCCTGCTCTAGGATTTTGGTTACTTATCGCATGGAACTAGCTCGTGAAATCCCGTTTCGGAAGGTTGTTGTGAGATGGCCGGGTATGAAACTAGTAGCGTCCTTGCTCCTAGTAGCGATGCCAGGAGCCCCTAGTAGCTTCTTGCTCCTAGTAGTAAGGCCAGGAGCCCCTAGTAGCGTCCTTGCTCCTAGCAACAAACAACAAAAAACTATATTTAGAGAACGGTTCGACCCCCATGGCTTCATACAAATTCAATTTGCGCTAAGACGGGTGGAGTTTCCTGGGATGGGCCGTGGCGATCCCCCCCGGGTGCAAAACAACCAGGACATACGCGCGTTCTCCATCATTCTCCTCAAAGGCTTGGCCAATTAGATGATTATATGATTTCCCCTGCCCGCTTGCATACATTCAACTGATTGTTCAGCTTTCTGCGGTTTATGTTTGATGACTACCCTTTGCTGATGGGGATGTATAGGTCTGCTTTGTCTATCTCCAAAGCCAAAGTCCGAAACATTTCTCTTGGAATTGTGTGCGGCACGGGGGGCCAAAGAGCGGTTGGAGCCAAACACAAAAGAAACAAACAAATTCTCACAATCCCAAATCCCCCCAAGAGCCTGCAAACACCCCCACAATCTTTGCAATTGTTGGTCGTGATTGCCGCTATTGCAGCCTTGTACCCCATCCTGTGCATACATTTGGCCCGAGAAGTTGTTGCTTCATCCTCCCATGGGTTTGCGGCAACGGACAGCAGCCCAATTATAACGTAAGGACGACGCACTGGGAATAATGCCCTAACTAGCAGCAGCATCCCTGAGAATAAACAACTAAGCTGCAACGGCAATTGCGGTAATATGTGTAAGCACTAGCTTAGACTCATGCAACTGAGCTTCTGATTGCTGCGCTGTAACTGATCACATCTGGAACCTGACGAGGCATTTTATAACAACAACACGGACCGCCTTGCAATGACTGGGGAGGATGTCTGCCACTGATACAAGCCCATCGGCATCATTGAATCATCAACCATTTCACAAGGGTGGAATTCAATCGAAGGGTTCGGACTTCAACATGGGTTACTAGGTTATCTAGCAGCCGTGGCAATCTATGGATGGCTGCATGACCCTCACGCAAGCGCCAGGATCTATAGACGATCTAGTCATCTAAGGTGAAGTGCGACCCGTGGTGCGTGGCCTGGTTCACGTCCGGTGATCTGTGGGCACTTTGGCGATCTGAGTGGAAGGTTTGGCAATCATCTGCATCTGCTGTGTGCTGCAGCTAGTCATAGTAGTCAAACTCTGTCGTGGTGATGGTGATCTACGGCTCATGGTGCGGTGAAGTGTGGTTATCAAGGTGCTTCGTGGCAAAATCTGACGATGCGCCTTGGCATTTCAGTTCATCTATGTTGTGTTTTGTGGGGTTGGTTTGTGGTGGTTAGTTTCTTGTGATCCGTGAGTATTTAAGTTGGTTCGTCGGGATGCGCATGGGTTTCTTTTATTTACTTTGCAGAGGAACTGAGCATCAATTCTTGCGGCAGCAGGAAGGGCCAATGGGAAAATTCCTTGCAAAGGGAGGGGAGGTACAGTAATTAGAAGCCACCACACCCAACTTATCCCTCTCCGTTGCTATATAGGCCAACTTATATGGTAAACAAGAACTTGGGCCGAGTTCATTCTGAGTTGGTTTTGGTGACCGGTGCATGGCTACAGTAGAACAAATTTTATTGTATTTATATATACATATATATAAAGATATGATATACATACATTCAGTAAACACACACACATACATACATACATATATATATATATCAGTCTTTGTTCCACATTGCAGCGGCTTTGTCAATGAAAAGTGGGAGAAAACCCAGAACAGCCGAAAAAAAGTGTTCTTGCGCCCCTGTGCGAGGAAACATGATTCTAACTACTCGGCCAAAACCTGGGTAGTAGACACCACCCCGCCTGCCTCACTATCAGTCGCACCACACCTCCTAAACTAAAGTGAATGCAGGCAGTGCAAACACAGGCTGCAGCTGTAAGAAAAACTTCAAAAGAAGATTGTTTTCCCTTCCCATGATTTGATCTGCGCGATCGGCTCTTTCCACGGCCCCAGCTCTTCCACGAGGAGGCTCAAGTGTGGATATCTTGGGATGCCGCAGAAAGCTCCTGTACACTGTGAAAAGGGTTTGAGTTGGGAATCCGTAGCCGGAAGCTGCAGGCTGCCAAACCCTCAATTATATCCTTGTGCTTTTCTGTGTGCGCTACGTGCCTTGGATCTAGATACGATCCTAATTCTGTCGCTTGTGGAACAACGTGGCTCCGCCCCTCCTAAGTGAACAGGGCCTGAACCCACAATCTTGAATTTTCAGACAGAGGTTAAGAAGCGCTAGCCATCGAGCGCAACGCTCTCGGCGGCTCCGCGTCGCTTGCCTCTACTTGTAAGCCCCAAGCTGACCAGGCTCGCCACTCGATGTGGGATGTGACAATGCCCAGGATCTCACCTGTTCTGAGCGTGGATAAAAACCAAATCAAGAGCGAAACTTGGAAGGGCGCCCAACCTAGCCACACATTGCGTGCGCAACGTGCTCTGGTATCGGCGGGGCCCGTGGGATCTGATTCGCTTGCCGTGTGCGCAGGAGCCTCGGCTGCCACTGTCGTCAAAAGCTTCTAGAGAGCAACGTCCCTCCAGCGACGGACTCGAGGCTGTTCCGCCAAGAGTCACAGACTCCGACGCACCATCACACAGAGGCTTCAACAGCCCCCGCTTGCAGGGCGTTTCGCCCTTCACCTTGTTCTTGTCACCGTTGCCACCTTTGCCTTCTCGCGCTTCGGCTCCCAACGCTCCTTCTCTTTCCTCTTCCCCTTCCCTTTCCGCCCGTCGGGTTGGGCCGCGAGGTACTTCACCTTCGACTCGTCGTAGGCCTCTTTCTCACGAATAAGATCTCGGTTTAGACATAATAGTTAAGATATAAGACGTCAAATAGGATATAGAAGTTAGTTAAGCATCTAGCCTTGGTTTATAAGGGTTTTCCTTTGCAGCCTTCGACTTGGTATTCGAACCCCGCTTGCGATGCTTCTCTTCTTTATCCTTTTTCCTCGCTTCTGGTCCTTCTTCTTGCGATCGACCTCTGGTCAGTCTAGTCTTCTCTTTTTCCTTGGAGATCTCGAAGCTTCGCCTGGTTCGACCTTCGCAAGATTGTGAACCCATCCGCCTTCTTCTTCGACGGCCTCATGAGCCTGCCTTAAACTTCATGACTTCATGACATGGATCAGGTCGTCTGCAACTCTCTCTCCTGCGCAATCCGGGCCGCGTTGATGGCACCGTAGCACGATCCCTCCACGTCCGGACTGATATACTGTACTTCAGGAGAGCCTCGTGGTGTGCACCTGAAAGCTGGAGGAGAAGATGAACTATACCTCGTTCCACGCACAACCCATCCAGCGTGCCCGCTGCTAAACAGTCGGCCGTAAAGTACGTGGCCGTAAAGTACGTTACCTTGGTGAAGACAATCTTCACGGGACTTCTCCTGCTGAGGACTGCTCCAGAACACCAGGAGCGGGGACCCAAATCCAAATCTGCGGCTGGTCGTCAAAGGGCCCAGGACGTGGTAGAACCCTCATGCCCAATCTTCTCATGGCCGCCGTGGCCTTCGCCTTTACTTTTGCCTTTGCAACAGCCTTCGGCTTTTGGCGCTGCCATGGTGCCACAGAACCGGTTGCGCAAGTCGGTTCCACACTGGCGATGCTTTGCTCGTTTCACGCCCAGGTGGCGTTCGGGACCGAACTGCTGTAGAACTTGTCACCACTGAGGGGCTAGACGCTGCCAACACGGGTGGGGCCGGTGCCACCTGGCAAACTGCACGAATGGAGCGCGGGTCTACATGCCTCCACCAGACCATCCAGCACCAAGGCGACCATTCTTTAAAGCGTTGAGAACCCCTAACAGTAAACTGTTTGGGGAAAAATGTGCGTAGAAGGGTCGGGAGGAGTCCCGGAAAATAGCAACAATCATGTCTGCCTGGCCCGCCCACCTTCTGCATTCCTCGTGTCTCTTGCCTGCAGGGCTATGTGCTCCCGCATGCAGGAGTATTAAGTCACAATGGCGACGTGCAGATACTCTAATCCCTGACAATGTTCGCACATATGTTTGCTGCACGCCTGTCATTATCCCAGCACTGGTTTGACATTGTTTCTTGTTTTTGTTTTCTTCCTGTGTTCTTTGTAGTTTTTCGTTCCAAACTTGCAGGAAATACACAAATGAATGATCTTGACTCACACAAATCTGCTGCGCAAGCAAAATTTCATAAAAGGCACCCTACTGTGCCTTGCGGGCTCCTCGGCATTCTGCACTTCCGCGTGAGCTGCCTTCTGGGTTTGTGACCATCCAGCCATCAACGCATGCTTCAACTATTGCGCTGGGCCTCCGTCACATCTGTCGCCAACTTTCCGTGCAATTGGATTTTTTCCTCTAGGCGGAAGCAAGAGAACCAAAGGGACCAAAACAAGAGAACCAATGTGGGGTCTTCTGCTCAAACTAACGAACAACAAAGGTATCTTGAACCGTCGGTAATACCATGGATCATCTTATGTATCATTACGGCCCCAGAAAAATATAAGTTGGCCGACCCTCGTGTGGCGGAGCTTTGCTTCCCTGACGCAGAAAATGCTGATTTTACAGCAGGAACTCACTGCCATCCTGCCTCCATCTCGCTGATCTCACTCCTCACTCTTGGCCTCTCTACGAGGTGGTGAATGGATGATCAGGTTCTGTGGGTAGCCTGGAGGCGGTGGCAATCGAGGAAAAGTGGTTTGCAACATTTTGCAACGCTTCGGTCCCTTGCAAGCTGGTCTGAGGCGGGGTGCTTTGGGGTCCGACAAAGGTTATGATGTCCCTCTTAACACTGTCCTGATGAGGCCTGTCGACGCCTTGGGCTGATTGACTTCGTTCCCTTTCCGGTTCAACTGCTCTCTCGTGCTTTTGACGCTTCTCTCCTTCTTGCTCTTCTTGCCGGTCTCTCTGGCAACACCCGATCCTTTGTGCAGGACGACTTCTCCGACGAGGCTGGAGTATTGGTGGTGATGATGGACAGTTGATGTTGCAGCACAAGGGACAAGACTTCACGGTCCCTATCAGTGAACGAAACTCACTGCAGTTCAGTGGGATCCTTGATGGTCTTGTGGGTTCTTCTCCTTCTCTTCTTTGTCTCTCCGTTCTTTTCATCTGACTCTTTCTCAACCTCAACAACCTCCTTGGTGGTCTTGCCCGGGCCTTTGGTGACGTCTTCGTGTTGTTATCCATCTCTGCAGTCGGCTCCTTAGGTGTGCTCCTCAGACTCCTGGTTACTTTCAGCCCGGGCTTCTCAGGAGCACTCCCGCTCCCATCCGCAACTACTGGGCCAGAGCTAGCCAGCTCCGCTCGCAGGATAGGTGCCGCCCCCTCTGCAAGTCCTGCAAGCAACCCGCCGCATCACGAAGAGCCCGAAGCACCGGCCCGTAGGGTGACCTGAGCAGCAATCCTCCAGTGAGGATCTCGCGCGCCCGCTTCCAGGTGCGATGCGCCTGACAAGGGTTGCCTGAAAACAGGCCGCGCTGGACGCAGCTCATCCAAGCTTGAAGCCAACACTGAGGAACATTGAAATGAGGTGCATCTTAAATTACGGGCGCGCAATATACATATTATATATATATATGTATATATATGTATTTTTAAAATACCCCAATTACCCGCAACAGAACTGCCAATTCTTCGAGGTCAAACCATTTGAATCCATGTGATCTCAGTTTGCGAGACATAGGTCCGACAACACAGGCAAACGCATTGGTAAGACGGGTTGGTAAAGGCAGCATAAGGCAGCAATAGGGTCGAAGAAGCTTGGTGATCAAAGGGTAGGTGTTTTTGGAACATCGATCCCTTTCAGCTATCGGCAGCGAACATGCAAAAGGGAATATGTCATTGGGTTGCACGTAAGTGATGTCCAGTCAACCTATCAAGCACTAGGAACAAGAAGCTACTAGGGGCTCCTGGCCCTACTACTAGGAGCAAGGACGCTACTAGGGTTTCCTGGCCTTGCCTTACTTCTAGGAACAAGAAGCTACTAGGAGCAAAGGGCAATCTTCCATGTTTGACATGAACTATGGGTGCGGAAGTCGCGGGCGCCTCCGTTTGAAGCAAGATCAAAGCAGACTTCCAGCAGCTGCCTTTCTCACATGCACTAATTGCCGCATTCTGACCTGAAAGAACTCTCTCGATGAGAAGTAAGCGAAGCAAAGCAAACTTCAGGTCACGAAAGCAATGTTTATTGAGCACAGCACCTTGGAACCTAATAGCGTCCTTGTTTCTAGTAGCTTCTTGTTCCTAGTAGTAAGGCCAGGAGCCCCTAGAAGACGTGCACAACTGGTGTGGAGACATTTAAATGCTCTGTCAAGAACACTAATTAATTTTGCTCAGGGCCCCGCCAATCACATCCTGCCAAAAATGAACAAATGATAAGGCCAAAAGCCTATAAGGCCTAACATCACAATTAACAAATTGTTTAGAATGGATTAAATAGACTGACTTTGCTCTTGATACGATGAACATGCACTGTTGCTCAGTCAAGTCTGGGAGCTGAGGCACAAACTTGTGTGCGGTGTGAGTGCAAATGCCGAAAATGGCGATACATACACAGAGCAAATGGCCACTGGGCTGCCTGTCCAGGCCAAATGCAAATGCAAGTGTCACCACTTGCCGCAAGGAACAGAAGAACATTAATGAAAAGGAACGCTATTGACATGAAAGGCGATTGGCATGAATATATGGCTGCTTCTTTCGAATGAGATTCCCCGCGGCCTTTTCGCAACAAGAGATGGCTGCATTGACTGCCTGTTGTGACCTCATGAAGGAATACGCCGAAACGTATAGTTCGCACTAAAGGCAACATTGTACTCGGTCGAGCAGCCTTACTTCTGCTGTCCTTCATAGCAAGTAGAGAAAGAGATAGGCTTTTGTGTCAATGCATCCTTACTTAGATTTCTGAATTGAATCTCATCCAAATCCTGATCCCCATCACATCCCCTTTGCGTCCTGCAAGCTTCCAATGCAAGGCCCCATCTGCTACTCTTTCCACATGTGGAAACCCAAGCACCTCAAACGTCGAGGTGGTCAGTTGGATCACATATGCACAACGTCCAAGAACCATGATGCTTGGCATTACTAGTGGCTCGAACTAGGGGCTCCTGGCATCGCCACTAGGAGCAAGGACGCTACTAGGGGCTCCTGGCATCGCTACCAGGAGCAAGGACGCTACTAGGGGCTCCTGGCCTTACTACTAGGAGCAAGAAGCTACTAGTAACAAGGGCATTACATGGCATTACTACTAGTAGCAAGAATGATGCTTGGCATGCAACACTTGGAGAGGCACCAATGCTCACTTCATTCGCTATGCGTAGCTGCATCATCCTGATTGCTCAGCTCACACAAGCTAGTCTGCAAGTTCAGTGGCAGGCAAATATCCACATTCGTGTCATGTTCTCTGCGTGTCTTGTCCAGACTGCAGTGGGTTCCTTTCATGCAAAGCTGGACTTTGGATCTGGTTTTCATCCTGTCCTTTTGAGAAGATTGCCTGCATCTTGCCACCGTCGTCCACGTTCACATGCCTCGAGTCTGAACGTATTTCCCGCTTCATTGAGATATGTTCATCTTGCCCAGCCACTGTGATAATTGAATTCAAAGTGACGCGATTCGGAATTCCATTCCTGACAGTCAAAATATCTCTGCTGAAACTCAGTTACGATTGAAACATTTCTCTTTTGTATTTTTCATGTTCGCAACATTTGGCACTGGCACTGCTTGCTTTGGAGCTTCGTCAGGGCCCATAGACTCAAGGCCGCGCTCCATTGAATACGATGCACAGCTGCATTCAGGCCTTGTAACTGTCCAGCCGGAAACAAAAAGGTTAACTAGTTGTCTGAAAACAGCCAAACTCTTCCCCACAATGGTTGCAGCAGCACAGGCAACAAGAGAATGAATTCAATTAAGAATATTAGGAGAAAGTGGAACCGTGATTTAGTTTTTAATACCTTTCGTCACGGGCTTCCAGGACGGGTACGATCAGGCGAAAATCGTTGAGCTGATCCCGGAGTATCCAGAAGAGGTTTTGGAGGATGATGCTGGATGTCACTGGATGTCGGAATACCTTGCAGTATGGACTGGGGAGGCAGGATGGTCAGGCGATGATCTGGGGGTGGATCGCGGAATGACAGTTTTGGCAGGATGATGGTAACGCGGCGCACATTCCCCCCCCAAAAGCATCATGCTTGGGTTTTCAAAGGAGAATAGCTCAGTGATGACGGAAATGTGCTGGACGTCGCAATACCTTACAGCACGGGCTGCTGAAAAAGGAGGTGCTTGGGTGCATGATGCTAACGCGCTGCCTGGATGTCATAAAACTTTGCGGCACGAGCTTGGAAGACTTCCTGAGGTCAACGCGGGGCCGTTTGACTTACAGCAGTGGGAACGTTATCCCTCAATGGTTCAGGTAAGGCCTTGGGTATGAATATGTTATGATGTTGGAGAGGCTGAACATTGACGGTTGGCAGTTTTGTTTCAGAAATGGGAGCTGAGTGGCTGACAAATTACTATCGACTGCTGCTTGCTGTGTGCAGTGGGCCAGGAAGTCCGTCCCGTCTGGTTGAATACGCTGAGTTTCCGAAGCCACTCAGTGCTTACTATTGTCAGCCAGTTGAAGACACAAGATTGCGATGTACAGTAGCTTTTTGTATGCTTTTTTTGCTTTCAAGCTGAGTGGCTGGGCGCCTGGACAATCAGCAGATCGTTGCTGTGTGGAGTGCACCATAACCTGCGATGGGCTTGCAAGATACATCCAGCAGTGCCTTCAGGAGAGTTTCCCACTCCTCTCAGTGTTTAAAGTGAAGGTTTTAGGGCATGATGTTGAAGAGACTGAACATTGCCATTTTGCAAAATGAGAGAGGTGAGTGGCTGCTAGACCAGGCAGTCGACGGCTGTCCAACAATGATTTGTGTGCGAAGGAAGGAGAACTGAGCTGCCGATGGCAGACTTGACTGTGCACCCAGAGAGGTTTCTTGCTGCGTACAGAGATGTCTTCTCACTTGGAGGCAAACGAGCGCTTGTTTTTGGGTTCTTGGGCTCACCTTGTGTCTCTTATATTCAACTCATTATGCTGCCTAAGAGCTGTATGAAACACGCATGTGAAACAGCAAGCACAAGGAGCAGAATCTGTAGTGTTAGGTCTACCTTGCAGGAGTTGCTAAGACACTTTGGTGACATGTAGCGTAACACGATTCTCAACTGTTGCATTGCACCTGCCACCACCTGCTTCACAACCTGACATTTAAGTGAAGGTGTCCACTTCAACCTCTCTGTGCAGATCAGAGTGAGAGATGTGGCGCCTGCTAAGAAAGCTGCATATCAACGGCAATGGCAACATCTGATACGAGAACAAGGACGCTACTAGGGGCAAAGGGCATCGCTACTAGGAGCAAGGACGCTACTAGGGGCTCCTGGCCGTACTACTAGGAACGAGAACGCTACTAGGAACAAGTGCATCGCTTCTAGTAACAAGTGCCTTATACTAGTAACAAGGACGCTACTAGGGGCTCCTGGCCGTACTACTAGGAACAAGGACGCTACTAATTGGGAAATTGTGTGTCGATCCAACGCTCTCTGCCTCTCTAATGCTGGGAGTTCTTCCTGACGCCAATGCATGGTTACACTCCCCCGAACTCAGTCGGTCTCTTCTCAAGATAATAAGGCATTGGCACACTAGAATTGGCACACTAGATGGCCAGCAAATAGTAATCACATCACTGGCCAGCCATCTGTATAGACTGTGTAGGGATCGATCGGCCTTCGCTTTCCCCCTAACCTTCACTTGACCTTCACTTGCCGCATACACCCACCTCTTTCTTCCTTTTACAACAACCACTTGCACGGGTTGCATGCTGCCATACTTACAACACCCTGGAGCCTGACAAAGGTTTTGAACAGCACAGCCTACCCAAGCAGTAAGGGCCTCCTTATGTTTGAAAGTCCCTCTTTGGGAAAACACGCTGAAACCTGTGCCGAGGCTCAAATTGTGTTCAATCTCAAGCACGAGGAAGATATTTCACCTCTGTGGTCAAGGTCTCTTCTTCCACATTCTAGAAACACCATTAAGAGAAGTGCCAAGGACTTTTTTGCAAAATAACTAGTTGCAGCTTGCAGGCGAAGCAAGGAGCACACATAAGTCCAAAGAGATTTTGGGAGCGCGATTGAAATCGCTGCGTAGCTGGATATACTGGGAATGACCAGCAGCGCGGGCAGTTGTCTGAAACTGTCCAAGGCCAAAGACCAATCGGATTTCCTCAACTTGCAAAGGGTGGGAGAATCGCAAGAAAGAAAGGTCTAAAGTCTAAAGGACAAAAACAAAGAAAATTGCAACAGAATGGAGGACAAAAACAGAGACTGAAAGTAAGACCTGTGGACACCAGGTTTCATCTAGTCCCTCTTTGCTCAATGGGTTTCGGGTGTAGTAGCCGTACTCAATTCTGTTGGCGAGCAAAAAGAAGCCCCAGGGGCAACTCGGCAATAGCTGCATTGTGAATAAAGGCATCCGTTTGAAGTTTGCCTTGCAGCTTCGCACCGATGACCAACATTTCAGTGCAAGCCACTCCCCACGGCTCGAGCCTTCTAGCATATGTTTCAGGGTCTGCAAAGCCCCCTGCAAGTAACGGCAAACTCGGGCATTTTTCGAGCTTTCGAGTTCTTTGAATTTCGGCAACTGACAAGCCTCATGAAGACTGATGTCATGTCTTCAGCGCATGCTAGATTCTATGAATGCTGCCGCCCTGCCTCTCCATTCTGACCGCCTACTTTTGATGCCTGTCCAGCGGTCACAATTAGGGCTTTGGAATCATGAAAAGAGTATCCAGATTTATCCAGTGTCTAAAGGAAAAAAACGGCTTTGGGCCATCGCTCTTAGGTTGGAGGCCATCGCTCTTAGGTTGGAGGCCATCGCTCTTGGGTTGGATGGTATCGCTAATTACTAGGTTGGAGGTCATCACTACTAGGTTGAAGGTCATCACTACTAGGTCGGTTGGAGGTCATCGCTCTTAGGTTGGAGGCCATCGCTACGAGGTTGGAGGCCATCGCTCTTGGGTTGGATTCTATCGCTAATTACTAGGTTGGAGGTCATCACTACCAGGTTGGAGGTCATCACTACTAGGTTGGAGGTCATCGCTCTTAGGTTGGAGGCCATCGCTCTTAGGTCAGAGGCCATCGCTGCTAGGTCGGAGGCCATCGCTCTTAGGTTGGAGGCCATCGCTACTAGGTTGGAGGCCATCGCTCTTAGGTTGGAGGCCATTGCTACTAGGTTGTGGAGGCCATCGCTACAAGGTTGGAGGCAATCGCTAGAAGGTTGGAGTAGGTTGGAGGAAGAAGCTCTTAGGTTGGAGGCCATCGCTACAAGGTTTGAGGCCATCGCTACTAGGTTGGAGGCCATCGCTACTAGGTTGGAGGAAGAAGCTAGTAGCTTGACTTTTTGCCTGGCCTTAGCTCCCACAGCTACTACTAGAATCCGCAGGAAACTTGAATGATTCTTGGTTTGGTCCATCTTCGTGTTCTTGTCTTTCTTTTCCTTTTTTCTTTGGACCTTTTCACCTTTCTTCTTTTCTATCCATTGTTCTATTTTCTTTCCACAGGTGGTAATTACTCCTTTGGCAGCTGGCCTGCAATGGCCTGTTCTGGGATGAAGAAGCGGGCCGATGCAGCATGCTGCTTGGCCATCGAATCCACCCACATTTGATGCAAGGCAAACAAATCAAGGAAGCGAACCAAAACATAGTCAAGGACATCTTTAAAGTCTTCAGTTTAAATTCAACTCTTCTCTGTTTCATTCTGTCATTTAAATTCTGAGATAGGTCTTCAATGCACGACAACCATAGTGTAGCACCTTGAGCAACTTTGCAGTTACGAGCGAAACCTATTCCAGACGGCATCCAGCGCCCTCGCAAATCCCTATATTGCTTGAAAAGCAGAACTGCAAAGGCTGGAATGCTGAAAAGCGCGATTTTGCCTCTCCTCTTGGTAGCCTTGCAAAGTCTTGGTCGATATGGTGCCTTGGCGCGAAATTCACAACAGCAACCATGTGGAACTAAGATTCCGTGATTATGAGTAGCACAAATCGCCGCGTCACTGGAAAAAGGCACAGCCAAATGCAGCTGTCGGCTTTGCCAAAGAGCTTCAACGACCATGCAAAGGCCTAGGGAAAAAGCTTGAAAACAGCAATACTATTAGGTTGGAAAGCCATTCTGGGTTGGAGGCCATTGCATGTTTTTACATGTAAACAAATGCTCAAGAAAGAGATAGGAATGCGCCACAGTCTGCGCCGTCCAAGTAGCTTGGCAAAGGCGGGTCTACGCTGATCTTCAACATGCACTCCAGAATGCATAGTGCAGCTTGCCATTGACAAGTTGCCTCCTGAGCGAAATTGTTTGCTTCATTCAATTCTCATAGAGTGCCAAAATGGCACAACCTGAGAGGCTTATCCGCTGAGGCTCGTTTGGACCATCCAGGTTGTTTCCTTTAGTGCCGTCAAAGTTTCTGATCAAGCAGTAATCAATCATGTTGTGCTTGTGAGTTAAGCTTCCCAAAAAAATTAGAAACCAAATCATTAGTGCGAGCACTTCTTCAAGGAAACTAGCTACCTAGCTTCTACTAGCTACCTCGGCCTACCCCGCCCCAGCTTAAAAACAAAAATACAAACATATAACACCCTTAAAGAAGGGGTTTAAATGGCTCTAAAATCCTTCAATGTTAAGAGGTCTCCAAGGTGGAGAATGCTGGCGTGCGAACCATGGAGCCGCATGGATCTCAGGTGTCAGAATGACTAGTTGTTCTATCTCTATCGTTATCAAGACGGTTGAGAAACCTCTGTATGAAGAAATCATAAACACATATCATATAAACACATATTAAGTGCACATAAATGCAAAAAACGATTACACCTAGAACCGATTCTAGAAGTTCGTTGCACTTTCTGCAGTCATCCAACAAAGTGCAATGTTTCACACAATACAGTTGGCATCCAAACGAGTTCTCCATAGTGTGGACACTTCTGAGCCCATGAGCACAGTTTGGATGTCCAACTGCTTCGTGTTTGTTACTGACAAGATCATCTGTGATTCTGATATGATCGTGACATAATCTTAACACATTCAATCCATGTGACACTGAGTGGAACGAAGTACAACGAAGTGCAACGAAGCTTCGCACGCAGAAATGGCTCCCGTGACAGCGATGAGATTTGGTGTCCTTAGTCGACTGCGAGGGTCTTGCGGGAACGGCCCCGGAGTCGTTACGTCTTAGAAACAAGTGCCACGCTAGTAGTAACAGGTGCCTTACTAGTAGTA